TGCTTGATTCTACTTGGGTTTGATTTACCTGAGCCCAAAGCAGCACTAGAGTGACAGTAATGGAAACTTTGGTTGATAATAATATTGTGTATGTGAGAGTCTCCTGGGTTTCTCAGTCGGTTGAGTGTCTACCTTCGGCTCAGGTCATCATCTCCGAGTCCTGGGATCGAGCCCCTGCTCAGCGGGCAGTCTGCTTCTCTCTCTCTCCTTCTGCCCCTCCACCCCTGCTCATTTTCTCTCTCTCTCTCTCAAGTAGATAAATAAAATCTTTAAAAAAGATGTTGTGAGTGTGTGAGGTATTACTCTGAAATCCTCAAGATAAGCCATAAATTCAAAGAGGCAAAGTCAGCAAGACTGGCATTCTTGGAGAACACATGTGAATGGTGCTCTCTGGGGTTGTGCAGAGCAACAGCTCTTAGGGGCTAATATAGATTGCCAGTGCATTCTAGATGTAAGATGTAAGAGAAATTACCATGAGTGGCTTCCGAGATTCCAGGGCAGCTTTTGTGCCATCTAATAATTATTGATCTTTCCCCCTTAGCATACGACTTTGATCCTGGAAAAAATATACACAGAGAAGGGAGAGTTTACATTAAAATCTTTTCACTGAGCTACATTGTACTGTGAATGAGGCATTGTAATGTGAATGAGACAAGTGGGAGTAAATTTTGATGGGGAAATGGAATGTTGGGCACCCTGGGTTGGGATGGGAAGTGTGCCAAGAAATCTTCCCAGTTCTTTTTTGGACATTTAGCAGAACCTGAATATTGAACCCTCTAATGAAGGGTGCTTTGTCTAACAGAAGGTTCTATTGGTTCCCACTAAAACTGGTTTAATCAAAACAGGAAATTATTGGAAGGACACGGAAGTACTTCACAGAACACAGGCAGCTTGACCTTACTAGGAATTGGCACTCTTTCCCACTCTCTGGGTGTTACATGGTCCTTCCTGACTGCTTCTTTCTGCATGTCTATTTCATTCCTTTATTCTCTGCAGTTTTTCTTTGCATCCCTGCACACACCCCCAATACCCCATGGTTTATGCATTTTATTACTAGCTACATGCAGAGACCAATTCCAAATTAATGGGCAAGAGAAACAGAGGAGGCTAGTTTAAGGCAGCAACATCTCTGCTGTAATTACCTCTGACCAGGGGTGCAGGGGTGCAGGGTCATGCAAATACGGCTGCCTGCCAAGTCCTCTACTGTTCTCAGAAAAATCATTATGGGTGGAGCATGGACTCCAAAGCTAATCAATTACACCAACCTGTCAGGTTTCTGCTCTCATACCTTCACAGTCTTATACCACACAGTTATGACTAAATGCTAAAACTTGGAAGATCCAGCTGTTGGATCTCCTTTTCCTGTAGATATTTTTCCCCAATCCTTATTCTGACTGTAACTTTGTATTTCCATTAAATTGTAAATCTAAAAATGCTCCAGTTCCAAAATAGATAATATGCAAACCATTCTAAGCATATAAATGCATGAAATTTGTACATATTTATAATAATAAATCAAAACCAGCCTTAGTTTAGGAAAATAGCATTATTACATGTGTTTTCTCTGTCCAAACAGCACAATAGTCAAAGAAACCTAACTGAAGCCAAACAGTGCTTTTGGTTTGAATGGGCATGAGAAGTCTTAGTGGTTGCCTCAACTTCTAGAACATTTCTAATTCAAAAATGCTATCCAGTCATTGACAGCAGGAGGTTGGATCCTGGTGTGTAGGATCATACCTGAACTTGCTAAAGCTCAAAGGCCTGGCTAAATATGTACTGTTTATTGACTTTTGATACAGATAGGGAAAAAATAATTTTATACAGGCCTGAAGAAATGGGAGAAAGTAACTCAAAGTACTCCATGTCTTGAAAATTGGCTAGAAAGATGTGCTAAATATTGAGGCTTGCACAGAAATACCCTGAGAATAGATTTTTCCAAAATTCTGCTTCATTAAGCAGCATTTAAAAATATCAAGGTCTTCAGAAAATATAACTGGAAATTTTATATGAAACCTTATACCTCCATAAGGATTTCTATATTATGTCAAATTTATGCCAAATTTGTTCCAACAGTGAACAGCATTCAGAGGGTAGAGCTGAAAGAGAAACAATTTTCATTATCATAAGTGTTAAATGTTTTATTACTTAGGGGAGCAAAATTTGCCTCCTCAAAATGTGTCTTTTGGCCTGTGGATTACTTTAGGCTGATTGTTTTTAAGAAACAGATGACTCAAGGAGTTTTTCTTTTTTGCTTCTTCCATAACTGCCTGAAAGGATTTAGATAGAGGATCTGCTCCAGGGGAGAGCTATCACCACAGATAACTATAGTATAATATGAACTGGGTGCAGTGGACAGGGAGGAAACTAGCAAGTCCTGTTTGATCCAAATCCTCTGTGTCCCATTGTTTCTCGAATGCTCAACAAATATTGTTTACCAAACACTGACTTTTTCATATTCCTGGGAATTGCCTTTCTTCCCCTTGGAGGCCCAGACCCCTACCAACCTCTCCTTAGCTCAAATGCCTAACTGCCTGTGGGCCTCATAATCTTATAGAGTCCCCATATGTACATAATTCAATTTGATTTTCTCCTGTTTATCTGTCTCATATCAATTTAATTCTTAAGACAAGCCAAAAAAAACTTGAATGGTAGAGGAAAATTTTTCCTTCCCAATGATTACAATTTCTCATTTTGCTTCTTTCAGACCCATCACTATGCAAATAATTAACACAACCATAATAGCTAGATAATGCTTAAGAAGAATCACCTAAATGTTAAATATTGGAAAATTGTTCTTGACATCAGGAGTTGCCACATTGCCACTGAGCAGTGATATGGCCACAAAGGGGGACTTAGTCTCCAAAAACACTTTGATAGAGAAGTTTGTGTGTGGGAGAGTTTCCCAAGCATGAAAGCATTATGTTTTTTTAGTTAACACATGGTATCAAAGAGTTAACACAAGGTATCTCCTCCATTTATCCCTTAACAGTGTAATCCCTCATTCATAATAATTTCATCTGTTCAGACTTAAAACAATTTCTTGGAACCTTTCTTGTGAACCATATTTTAAAAAAAAAAAATAGGCTGTTTATTTATTTTACCTTTATACTGATAAATTCAAAGCAGCCAAGGGGCAGTCTTCAGTACCACCATCACCTGTATGTAATGTGTAATTATTATTATATATAATTAGTATATATGTTTATTAGTATATATATGTTTAGATACTATTTTCTTCATTAATTCTTGTCACATGCAGAAATTGAAGTATTCAAGGTTTTTGCTGGTTTGATGACATTATTTTCCAGTACTCGTTCCAAGTTTCTTTTATAATCATTATTCCTATGAAGTCATTCAACTTGGAAATAATTGCTTGCCAAAACTGAGTTTCTCTGGTGAACCACTCAACACAGCTTTAGTTTTATAAAGAACACCATTCTTTGTGTGCTGTTAATCTTGGCTTCGAAACACCACATATTATTCTTCCCACTTGAACAGTTCAGCTCCTGTTTTCTTATACTTTGGAACCATTAGACTTACTGATGGAATATAAATGTCTGAGTCACCCAGCTGGTGACTCTTTGAAAACAGATTTTCCAAGTATAGATATATGGACTCTCTGCTCATAGCAACACGTAGTTGTTAAAAATCTGAGGACTTCCCGAACAGTCTGAAGACCTGCCTCATACAAGAAAAATTGTTGGCATTTTATTAGATGGTGTTTTGTTACTTAGTCTGATCTTAACTTTGGCATTCAGTAGCTATGATGCCACATTCCAATAGTTGACACAGAAGTTAAGTTATTCAAATAAATCAGTGCTTCCAGTGAAAATACTAAGCACATAATCCTAATTTTTATTTGCTCTTTTAATCCCATCTAAGGTTGTGCTTCTGAAAAGCTATTAATAGAAGGTTATGAGAATTTGATAAATCAGAAATTCAGGTGTTCAGTGGATTATTCTACAGAACAGAAAATAATTTCACTACCAATTTATTTTCTAACCCAGACGACTTAAAAATCTTCAAAATGGGACACTGTGTTGACATAGGATGGACCCGACTTAGTAAAAGAAACCGCTAACAGGCTATATGGCCATTATGGCAGAGCAAATTGAAAACGCTTTCCTCTTTCATGTTCACAGTGAAATCTCTGAAGGCCAAGAATTTTCCCTTGTCAAATCAGAGTGAAGTTATGTCTCCATGTCTTCCAAATTCAGAGAAAGTGGGTCATGGATAATTATCAGGCAGGACATGTTTGTAAAAGTGTTTTGCTCATGAGAATTCTGTATACAAATGAAAGTACTTTATACTGAAAATGTAATACATCAAATGAATGATGCTACCATGTCAAATTAGAATATAATAAGGCCGTTGAAAGGAAAATCTCCAAAATGATAGAAAATGCTGAATTTATAGCTGTCAAATATGCATACTTCTGGAAGTTTGATATTAAATATAGCATAGGGTTGCAGATGATTTACAGTATTTTTTTGGCAGAAAAGAGTTCTATGAACCTTTCAAGACTGAAGGGTTCGTGTGAGACATGAAAGGATATTCTAACAAAAATACGTACTTCGTGTCCAAACTGATTTTATCAACACAAGAAAGTTTATTCGATTACATGTGGTTCTATTTATATCTTCAAGAAAAATTTCTGGCAGCCATACAAGTGCATTTTATTGCCTCATTTAAATTTCTTTCCAAGTACACTCATCATTTATATACACAAAGGTGATGCGAAATTTCTTTAATTTTATGGATTTGTTCACATGCGCATGCGCGTGTGCACGGAAAATGGAGCGTGCCTCTGTAATTAAAAATGAGAAATAATGCAGGAGGAGCTGTTTTAACCTACCTTGCAAACACCGAAAACTAAACAAAAGCCAAAACAGAGTATTGACCCTTTTGCTACTCCTGTTTCTAATTGTGTCATTAGAGTAAGAAAACCAATAGCCTGCACTGTATCTCCTTCCTGTGCATTTCAAAAGAAAGTTTAAAGAGACATTTAACCTTCTTTCTTTCTCTTAGTGTTTATAAAACTCAACTGCAGGGGACAGAAAGAATCTTGGGAGAGAATATGAAACAAAACTAGTTTAAAAAAGTTTTACATAAAATGAGCATGCCATGGCAGGTTCTGTTTTCTGGGTACTATATATTATAAAGGAGAACATGAACTTGCAGACGTGTAATTTGGGAACCTGTTAATGGGTCTACACAGGAGAGAAGACACAAGTCAAACCACATCAGTGAAACCACTTTTATTTTTATTTTTTCCACATAGATAACTTCATGTCAGCTACAAAATCATGAAATGAAGAACCGATCGCGAAACTGCAAACTCAAAACCACTGGAGTGATAAACAGGTTTCCTCCAGAGGACTGTTAGAAAAAATAACCAGAATACCATGGATTCATATTTAAGTAGTAAACATGTCATATATTTAAAAATAATAAATATAGAACGGCAGTAGAGAAACTATAGCATAAACAGCATGAAGTATAATTTTATTTTTTAAGACAGATGAAATTTCTAGGCACAGTTTTAGGCATTAAAGAGGACACAGAGGCATAGGTTAGTGTGCGCTGCTCTGTACAAAAATACAGTCTGAATAAATTACATTGCTAGCCATACAATTAGACGTCACTTACCAGTCAGTTCATTGCATGTTTAATAATATACAGGTACATGCTAATCCATATATATCATTTATATTTCAAACACATAGGTCTCTCTATATTTGTCTTTAAAATTTACATGTTGAACTTACAAAAAGCTAAATAGTTGTGCAAGAAATCCAAATAACTAGCCCTGCTGAGTACTTTATGCTCTATGTGTGTATGCGTATATATCGCTCTAAGATAAACAATGGATTTATAGTCAACAGTTTTGCTTGTAAGAAAGCATCAAACAAACCTAAAGCTGCAAAGACATAATGTAGGTGAAAATTCACATGTGTTCATTCTGATAGACGAAACAGTATTTCGGATGAGCAATAACTTTCGTGTTGTACTGAGCTTGTTAGTCATGAAATACTTTCAAATATTAGTGATGGTAGAAATATAACATAGGGCTCTTCACTGGGAAGGGGAGAAAAGTTATATAAGAAATCGACCTTTGAGTGTACTGCAAATATGTGTGCCTTAGCCTATAACATATTCTGTCATTTTCCAGCCTGTCATATTGACAGAGAATGAAAACTTGGTAAGAATCGAGATGTGATATCGGTCTAACAGCACACTGCATCTTCTACTAAGAAAAGTGCCTCACTGATGTCAGCACCAAAGTACTGTTCTCCCGTTATTCAGGAATAAAGAGACTCTCTCACAATAGAGAGTGTTTAGTAGCCAAAATCCCTATCCAACAAATACCGTATTTCTCATGCTGCTCTGACAGTATGCAATTAACTGCAAGACAGTCTGGCCCAGATTTCACTATTTCTCAAGAAAATTGCTTCAGAAGGTTCTGTGATACTAATATCTTTCTGGAAAACTTCCACCCATAGTTTCTTATGAGTCTATAGAGAACCATATACTTTTATAAAGGTTTTTCTCTAGGATGCATTTAATTACTCTTGTCTGTCATTGCTAAAGTAAGATTAAGCCTGGTTCTTCATATTTACTTCGTGATTCTATAGAGAAGTCACAAGATGGAAGGGTTTTTTTTTTTTTAAGCGTTTGAATAATAAAATAGATTTTTTTCCCTGTTGTTCTGGCAACAGTTTTTAAGACAAGCTGAAAGCAGAACTATGCTCTGGGAGGTAAAGCAAATTATTAAATACTATTGATGTGGTCCTGCTCTTAACGGATTTCGCAATAGAACATAAGTAGGTTCTAAATGATTTTTCCAATGCTTCTTTGTGCAAAAGGGCCAAAACCAAGACATACTGTTTTAGTGTCTTTGTTAACAAAAATAACTATCTATAACTTTTATATTAGAACTGTATTATTTGATATAAAAATATGTTTATAATTAAACTATCCAAATTTGTGTATTAAACAGGATTAATGCAAGTTTGCAGTGTGAGATTAGTTGCAAACTTATTCCCTATCATTGATATTTCCTTCCATTTGAACAGCCAACAAATGATTCCCTTAACATAAATCCATCATAATTGTGTGCACAAATCAGTTAGCCCATTAGTTAACTTCAGAGGACCAGGTGATAACCAGATGAATTCTACTCCTCTACTAAGACATTTAGACATTTCTATAAATCTATCACTATTCTTTTATTTTTTAATAAAGACATTTAAAGTACTTGAAAAAAAGCAGCCTTCTATTTTACTGAACTTTTAACAAAATGATCATTCTAATTGCTACTCTCTTTTGAACTACAGTGCTTGCAGAAGAATCATGAATTTTCAGATTAACACCATTTCAATTTTTCTTCTTATACAATTCTATTAAAACTTTCCAGTGAAACAGTAGAGAACACAGAGCAAAAGCTTTAAGGTATATGTACTTTTGTACAGTAAGTAAGTGTGAATACCAATCTAAGCCTCTTAACGTGTACAAGGTTAGTGTTCAAATCACTTCACTAGAGCAAATATTACTTTTATGTGTAATAGGCAAATGCATGTATTGGAGTAGGGAACAACTTATTACCATTTATACTAATGGTTCACCTTCTATAAAAATATTTAAGCTTGTTACATACGCACAATTATTTGCAGTAATGTTTGGTAAATGATTTAAAGGGTACTTCGGACAAAAGCAACTCATGCATATTTCTTTCTAGTTGCCCCAGGGAAAGCAGAGACTCTCAATTTTCCTCATTCTAGATATGGCTGAGGCACAATTGCTAACCACACAATGAAAAGCACATGTCTCCAAGTCTTGACTCCCTTCCCGGGGAGAAGTTGATTGCCAAAGCATTGCCTATATAGACCCTTCACTTGTCAAGAAAAATGACATGAACATATTGGAAGTTTGCAGCATTTGCCTATGTCTAATCAGCTGTCTTAATTTGTGCAGGTCCCTAAAATGGATGTAAAAGCTGGTTATGATGTTGACAGCCAAAAGGCAAAAGATATTAAGTCAACTGAGGAAACTGCTTGATGCTCCACATGTGTTTTAGAAAACAGTGAGTTAGAAAAGATAACAGACGTAATCCTTTTGTTGGATGGTTGGTTGTTTTTTAAAATGTGAGACTGTTGGTTCTAGTAGTAGTCTTCGTAGTTCTTAGGGTTCAGGCAATAAAGGATGGCACCCCCAAATGAAAATATAGTTGCACCCCAGGCCAGGCCATAACCCCAGTTGAACTCATGGTAAATTTTCAAGCTCACAGTTTCAATGAACTTGATTGGGTAAAGGACCAGGCTGCAAACCTGTAAAACAACTGAAAGAAAAGCAAATAAAAATTAGAAAAGTGTTCTTTGCAGGAAATAAAAGGATACAACACATAAATATATATATATGTATGAGAATTGCTTTGTAATCAAACTTAAAAGCCAAAAAATTTGAAGCACTGCTTATTCTAGATGGTATACCTTAAAACATTAGCAATTTTGTCTTTAACACTGTTTCACAATAGCAATTAGTAACTCCCCATAATAGTACTTGATGAAACAATTAGTGCAGTAATTTACAAGAGCATACAAAGTAGTGATTCTCACTTTATAGACATACATATATGAGCATCACTATTATGCAAGTAGTACTATAAGCTCAACAAAACAAAACCTGTAAATAGTTCCCCGAGAACAGTGACCCCAAATACCTGAAACCCTTGCTATTTATTTATGCTCTTGAGGAACTGAGGAATTCAAATTCATTTGTACTGATGAAAGTGGTCAAGCTCCATACCACGTAACTCAGGCGATGATTCTAGCAACTCCTACCATGATGTCTTTGCTTATATTCCTCTGATCAAAAACGATTTTCATTCCTTTCCTCTCATCCTTCAAAAGGGGCTCAAAAGTCATCTTTGTCAAGAAACCACATCCAATTAAACCTTTGTGTTAGATATAACAGACATTTATATATTTATTCTTCACCTACTTTCAAAAAAGAATGAAATCAATGAAGGCATAGGAGCTAACGGTACTGAAAACATCAGCTAATGCTGGCTACTACCATCGAGACAAAACTCAGCTCTTCATTCTCAGCTAACTCTCGGTTCTTAAGTCATTTGTCAGTCAGGGCTAAAGGGGAACTGTGATGAGTCATACCTGATTTTAAAAAAAAAAAATTCATCAGGAAAGGGAAGGGTTGTTGTTTTTTCTTATATATCTAAAATTAAAGTGGTCCTTATCCTGTTGATATTTCTATATGGGAGGCACTGGATTACACAAGAGATGTCTTCCATTCAAAATCATAACTGCATATTGCATCTATTATATAATTTCTACTTTATTTCAATCAACTTAACTAGAATTTATGGGATGCATCTGCCTCATTCTCTACTATAGGACAGCTTCTACCCTCAAGAAACAATCTTAAAAAATCTGGGTACTATGTACTATGGGGCAGGGGTTGGCAAACTACCAAATCTGGTCCGCTGTTTGTTTTTGAAAATAAGTTTTCTTGGAACACAGCCAGGCTCGTTCACATACTGTCCACATTACAACAGCAGAGGTTGGAGAGTTGCAAGAGAAACCATGCAGCTCACGAAGCCAGAAGTGCTTACTATCTGGCCCTTTATAAAAAAAAGTTTGCCAACCCCTGATACATCAAGTAAAGGTTTAGTCAAAATGATTATTATTTAACGCATCTTAAAAATACTGTAAATTCCAAAAGTACAACAAACACATGAACAATTATGGAGACAAGAATAAAATTTGATATAGTAAAAAAAGATAGTTTATTACATTTTTTAGAAAGAGCAGTAGGATGGATTAGTGTGTTTAATTAAACTGGAGTTTTGTGCTTTAAAGTCTATGCTCATCTATTGTCAGTACCTATAAAAGATCCTTATTACCAATATGATTGATGTTCCCAGAAAGTCTACATTAATGGTCCTCTCTCTAGCGTAAAATTGATGAACTCCAGAAAATTCATGAGGTGTGATTCCACGAAATCATTCCATTCTGTAAGGTTCTGACTAGGGGTCAAGTAACTTTTTTGGAGCCAGATATAAGAATTTGAAACATTTTTGCCATGTAGCTCAACACTGCGCCTACCACACTTCCACACTATAGAGAGTGGATGGATCAATAGGTCCATATAAAAGGAGAATCTCTTGGCATCCAAAATGAACATCACACCTTGTTTATAGTTTAAAAGTCTTAGAAAATGTTTTAAGTCATTGTTAGGATAACTGACAGCTCATTATATAACCCACACTTCCTCTACTTCCAGCAAGTGCTAAATGTGTATTAATTAAAAAAAAAAAAAAAGTCAGCGGGCTCTGTGACTTTGTGAGGGAAAGGGTGGTTTCATGTATTAAATGTCTTAAAACTAACAAGAAGTCAATTACTATCAACGATGAACTACAGAAAAACATTGCAAAGTTAGTAAGTTTAAAAGATAAAAAGGCAATTTCTCCTCAGGCTCTTATACTCTGGTCACTAGTCAAAGCATGACTGATCTTGCCAGTTGGTGACTGAAATATAAATGTGAAGTAGGAATAGTCATTCATTTACTCATTCAACAAATTCATTCACTCAGTAAAAGTTTGAACCAAGTGGTACAGTTTAAGGCATGGGTAACAAAAGTCGCTACCCTCAGGAGGAGGCTGACCATTAAGAAACAGACACAGAATATGGCAGGTATTGCCAAGAGACGTGAAAAATACAAGAATGCCAGAAAACCAGATAGAGGGATGCAGGCCGCTCTTTCAGATCAAAAGCTGGGGAAAGCCTCTTTAGGGGAGGAGTCATTTGAGGACAGACCTGAATAATTTGAGGGGGGCAGGTCAATCGAATGGGGAGTGAGCAATCTGGGTGGAGCATGACGTGAGGCGTGAGATGTGAGACGGAAGAGAGAAGCAGGCGCCCCATCCGGGGATGGCCCTGTGAACCACGGGCGGGGGTCCGGATTTTCTTCTTAGTGTGATGGACAGCTGCTAAAGGAGTTTGAGCAGAGAAGTAATAACTGACCTGAATTCTATTCTAGAAGGATTATATGGGTTCATTTGTGAAAGAGCCAGTCCCGAGGGTGAGTTGTTTACCTAGACTGCTTTTAATATTCATTTCAATGTGTTTTATTTAGCAAATATTTGGCCCCCATGGTATAATACAATGACATAATTTCCCTCTAGTGGAAAAGTGGAAATACAACTCCATTAGGCTCCACTGGCATATTCTCCTGAGCAGCTTTCTTAGAGATAAAGCTTTATTGTGTTGTAGCCAGATGAAAATTACCCTAAAACGCTTTATGCCTCTGCATTATTTTACTCTCTTTAGAATCACTGACAGAAATGCATGTAATAGCAAAACTGAGAAAAAAACATACATAAGCCTGCATTTGTAAATAACTTTTTCCATTTAATAAAAATACACAGAGGCAGGTAAAAATGCCTCCTTGCCTTTTGTAGATGCTGTGAAGGGAAAAACAAATAAACAAATACACAAACCGAGTCCAGAACTCAAGAAAACATATCACACTTACATTTCTACTTTACCACCAATCAGTGAAACATAATAGGCATCGGCTGTGGTATTCTCTATGCTCTACCTCAGAGGCAACGTTAGTGAAGTTGTGTAGCATTTTAGAATTTGAAGGGAATTGGAAGTTCATTTTATACCTCTCTCCACTCTTTTGAAAAGAGGCAACAAAACTAGTAACCATGAAATTGTGTGGAGAGAGGCATGACAAGAACTTAGAGGTACTAATTTTTGTCTTATGTCTACGTTTCTTTAAGGGGCTATTTTGCAGTGCTTTCAATGCTGACCCATTGAAAACATTCAATATTGAAATATTCAATACTTTCATTTAAGGGGATATTTCAACAAAAATTTATTGGATGTTGACCGTGTGGCAGGTGAAAGGGATCAGACAGACAGGACATGGCCCTTGACCGGTCATATTTCATACTCTATGGTGAAAACAGACACATAGATAATTACAAATGAATGTGTCCAACAGTAAGAGCAGAGGAATGTTCACTGATCCATTCATTACACGTTTTCTGAACTCTAACGACATCCCAAACACCATTTCTGCCTGGACAAAGAAGGGAGGGCTTCCGAGAGGAAGCACCATTTGAACTGGTTCTCAAAGGATGGACAGGACTTGGTCAGAAGACAAAAATGAAAAGACCTCTGGGAAAAAGCAGCAGCTTGTATAGAGCTTAGCAGTATAAGAGGGTGTACCTATAGAAAAGTCAGGAGGTTGGAATAAAGGGTACATTCCCATGGAAAGGTTTGGTTCAGACTATAAAAGGCTTATGTGTCATCAAAATAAGAGGCCAGTTTCTACAGGGAGACATCTCAGAGGCTATCTGAATTGTAGATGCTGTTGGGTGCCCTACCCATATGCTCTCATCTTCATCACTCCAATACTTGTCAGCCTTACTTCCAACTGTCTGCAGCACCTGCACTTCTTTGCCTGATTTCTCCTCTGGCCACGAAAGCTACTTTGCCTGATTGTGGGGCAGGCCTGGTGCTCTGGGAAATGAACGCTGCCGGCTGCCCTGCATCGCCTCAGCCCTTACCAATGACTCTTCCGAACCTGGCTTCTAAATACCCCACTTCCCTAGTCCTTCCAATGAAATAACTCAGGTATGTGTTGTAAGCCGGTGTCCAGGATTTTTCCAGGAAGTTTAAGTGGCAGCTGCCTTCAGCAACAACTGGCTTGATAATGTCCTCTTTCTCTGTCTCACTTTTCCGTATCCGTGCTTTTGCCTCCCAGACTAAGTACTTGCACTTGTTTCCTTGTCTTAGGTTCCGCCTCTGGGGAAACCAAAGGGACAAGCGGCGAGACCAGATGTGTATTTGAGAACAACACCTCCTGTGTTTGTGTGCAAGACAGAACGTAAGCAGGAGGGACTAGAGACGGGAGGCTCCTAGGAAGGAGGCCAGTCACTGCATGGGTACCTGAGATGCCCCCAGCGAGAAAGAAAGAGGAGAGAAGGTGAAGAAAAGATGATAGAAGAAAAACGCAGTACCTGGATTCTAGGAAAGGGAAAGGAAGGAGTCACGTAGATATTTTAAGTCAGATATTACCATAAAAAAATAAAGTAGGGGAAGTTCCAACCTGGGAACGGAGATGTTCCACTATGCCCTCAACTAAGGCAGTAATGGTGGGTCATGAAAAGAAGCTACAGACTTAGAAGATAATTTAGAGACAGAATTGATAGGACTTACCAGACAAGTCTCTAAATACAGAATGTTTACAAAAAGAAAATGGTAATTTGGAGATTCATGAAAACATTTGCCCATGAAGGGTTAATATGAAGCGATCTTCTTTTCCTTTTTATTGTTTTTTTAAAGATTTTACTTATTTATTTGAGAGAGAGAGGGAGAGAGAGCATGAGCAGGGGGAGGGGCAGAGTGAGAGGGACGGAGAGAGCAGTAGACTCCCTGTTGAGCGTCTGAGCCAGGGCTCGATCCCAGCACCCTGAGATCATGACCTGAGCTGAAGGCAGACGCTTCACCGACTGAGCCACCCAGGCGCCCCCTTCTTTTCCTTTTTAAATTTAATCTGTAACTACCAAGAGTTGTAGTACGTATGAAATTAATTATTGGCATTGATACGATAAATTGTTCTAGCCAAAGGGTAGTTCGATACTGATAAAGATCTGTGAATAGAATTCCTTTTTAGTTTGAAATCTAAGCTGGACACTGGTTTTTCTGCCAAAATCTAGACTCAAAATACCTCCAGTATTGTAAAGAGGGCTGCAAAATTCAAGCCTCTAATCAGAGAGAGCTCAGAGGTGGAAAGCAGTTGCAGGACCCTGGGGGAAAAACAATCACCATTCTGTACAAACATTCATTTACAGAAGACTTTTTGCTGATAGAACAGAAAGGAAGTATCATTAATAAAATTAGTGGGGATTCTGTTATTTAAAATCTGAATTAGAAGACTGAGAATCTTCTGCAATTTGTACTAACGGCCTTTAAAAAATGGAAAAAATCATCCTAAGTCCCAGTGGGGCATACAAAAGATCTGCAAAACCAGACAATACAAGAAGAGGACCTAGAAAGAGGCAGCCCCTTTAATTTCACCAACTCTTTAGTGAGAGCTAGATGCCAGTTACAATCCCATCATATTTTACCTATCATTGTCAGTTACACAATAAGAAACATGCTATAGTCCTCTGTGTTGGAAAAGCGCACACTTTCATGATGCGCTATGATTCAGTCATGTTGCACTGATCAGTGTGGTCTTTATGGCCTCTCAAATTGCTTATTTCTTTCAGGTGTTGCCCCCAAGAGATGGAGTAACTGGAGTTACAGGGTGGACTCCAACTGTAGTACACAGTTGGCAGCTGATTTCAAAATTCAAGGCTGATTCTGCTCTTGTTTCTCTATGTGTTATACATACCCAAGTGAATATGGATTGAAACCCTGGCCCTGCAACTGACTAGCTGGATAACCCTGGGGAGTCACTTAACCTTTCTGAACTTATTTCTTCAGTGATAATATGGGGAAAATAAATACCCAATCTCAAGACTGCTGTATCAGAAATAGTATATGCTAAGTGTCTAGCAGTGTTACATGTGGTAGGTGCTCGATTAATTATTGTCAACCTTATTATTACAGATAGTATCTTATTCTGAAGTCCAGACTGCTAAGACCAGTGAGTGAGAGAGTTGTGGAACATGGGACAATGTTTTAGATGGGCTGTAGTGATGACAAGCTCTTAGCCATTCTACTAACTATTCAGGTGGGTACCAAGCCACCCCCCCCCAAATTAGGGACTTCAGGGATAAAGGGAAGATGCAAAACCTTTAAAATATGTTTGGCTGCCTTTATGAGATTTGATCATCAGCTTTTAGTAAATACCCTTGGAGTATATAATCTAACACCAAGGCAGTATACCTACATACTAGAGGTGCCCCACATGTATTTGTTAAATAAGTGAATGAAAACAAGAATAAATGAAAAAAAATCATTTTTGTAACTATCACTTTCTTGAGCTGTTTTGGTCGGAGCTTTGTGCTCACATGAAACTTGCTGCTTCATAAATTGTCAAAAGAGAAATGGTTTAAGAAAAATTATGCTAGAGTTAGCTAGTTGTTTACATGCCTGTTTTTCCCTGTCAAGTTACAAGCCACATGCCTTCGTCATCTTTCCAGCATTCATTCAACCATCTATTGCGCATGGCGTTGTACCGGGCATAGCACATGGTGCTGAATTAATTATGTAGGCCGGTGTAGAGATGTTTCCAAGTGGTAATGCTAGGTTTGTTTTGATTTTATGTACTGCATGTTTCAGCAGAAGAAAAGATTATTGCTGAAATACATAACATTCTCTATGTGTCAACACCAAGATAAGGCTGGGTATTATTTGAAAAAAACATTTTGAGAAAAGAAGAGAAACACAGACTATTTTCAAGCAGACCAACATGAGCAAAAAGGGGAAATGGCTCCAAATACACATTTAGAATCACTAAACTGAATTACAAGTGAGACAGGCCAACCAAGAGAATAAGTATGTTTACTATGAAGCAAGCAAAATAAACAGCCATGATTTTCACTAGCATTGTTTCAAGTGGGCAGATTTTCCAAATTTGTTCATCTTATGCCCAAATCAATAATGGATTATTATGTGTAATGAGTATCTTTTCCAGAAATCGGCTACAGGCAACTCTTTAATGGGTTTTGAGATGGGAGAGAGAAACCTTTTCATGACATGTTTCAAATAATGAGTAAGTTTTTACCTTGCTTATAAGCAGAGTGAACACTAAACTAATGGTTATTTCAAAAAAAGCTTCCATAAGCACAGTGTCAAAAGAGAATGAGTAAATTTAAATCTCAGCACATGTACATTTTAAAAATGTAGCAGTATAATGCTTGCTTTAGGTCTCAGCGGGTAGAATATGAATATATGAATATTACTGTAGGGATTCCTTTCACTATTTTATACTTTACTAATACTTGTAGTAGCTAGAGCTAAATTGGAATCTTTATTTTGACCAAATCCATTACCTCTAACTTATGTTCATTTACTATATGTTTTCTGTTACAACCAGTACTTATTTTCACATTTTCATAAATTTTGCTATACTTGGGAAAACATACAGAGCTTTTTTAGAAAGAACTAGAAACTCCTAGTTATTTTTCTAAGCATGTTTAAAATAGGTGCTATAAACAATGGATTTCTTTATAGATTCTGCACATGCTATTATGTGGTAAGTTAAAATCTAAATGAGACAGTAACTAGGTAGCACCATAATACTGGATATTTGTAAGAGAATGTCTAGAGAACCTCTATTCCTTTGTAAAATCAGAAATATCTGAGTATTCTAAAGATTATTCAAAACATAATTCCAGTTTTAAGGAATGGTATATAATTTCAGAACAATTTATCAAAAAATTTTATTACAATTATCACTATGTTAATAAATCCTCGCTGCAAAGACAAATTTATACTAAAATTAAAATATCTAAGTTATTTCATTCTGAGAATAGAAAGATCCATGATAAATCCATGAACCAAGATATAAACTAGAGAACTGTGATGGAATCTTTAGGAGAATCTTCATGTTGTACTAAATGATTCACGATAGAGATCTTTATTACACAGGAGATCAACAAAAAAATGAATAGTATGGCCACTGCCTAAGAATTCAAACTATTTTTTGTAATAGTGTTTTCTCTTCTATTAGAAAGTATCTGTGGTGTTATTTAGCTAGTTTCGTGGGTCTCTTTAACGCCACGTTCAGTCTGTAAGAGGCACCTAATGAACAGCTGAATGAATGAGTCAGTAGCGAATGAACCACTAGTTCAAAATTCAGTAGCCTCCCAGCCCTGGCTCTGCTGGTAACTACTATAGAATTTTGAGCAAGTCACTTAAGAGATTTGACTTAGATGTACTTCAGCCCTCTGGACCTTCCTTTTCATGACACCTACATTCCAATCAGTCTTCGTGGGTATAAAAAATGAACACAAACAGCAGGGGGCAGCAGAATACTTCTGAGCTTATATTTTTAGATCAAACTACACTTCAAATCCTGAGAAATTTCATCTGTTCCCATCTTTAAACAGCTTTAAAAAAAAAAAAAAATCCATCTAATCTGAGAAGGCTCTGTCAGTGTCTTCATTATTGACAGTCACAGAGGCTTATTTTGCAGTCTTCAAATCAGATGTGACTGACAGGGTAAATTGAAGGCACCACAAGAATATTTCAGTTGGAATCAAAACAATATATTCAAGGCTATTCTTACAGAAAATTAAGATACATTAAATAATGGACTGGGCTTTTAGTCTTGTAAACCCCCTTTCTAAATAGTTCCCTGATTTTAGCAAAACCTCCACCTTACCTTGCTTCATGTTTTCATCCCAGCTGTGCGTGCTTCCTAGAATGATGGCTGTTAGATTAACGACTATGCCAGTGACCGCATACAACTGAATTGTCTGATGGTTCAAGTTATACATTATTATTTTTCATTATAAGCATGTTTGTTTCCAAACAGATTTAGACCTTTCAGCCTACATGTATTGGAATTTTTTCCAGTTTCACATCAGAAAAAAATACTGTTGCCTTAAGTTCACCAAGGGGGCAATAAAAGGAGGGGAAAAAAACAATGTGAAGACGGTTGGTAAACACATCTGCTGCAATTCGTAAGGCAATAGCCCTGTCAAGAACTATTACTTACTCATATTTTAGTTAGAAGTTTAGAAATTGCCACTCTGCTCTGTGAAATGCTTAACATACTGAAAACCTGTAATACGACAAACCCTTAGTCAATTTACCTTAAAATATACCAAATGTCTCTCAATTTGTAGGTAATGCAGCAATCCCATACTGCTTTTGCATGTGAAGGGAGGGATGGTAGAAAGGTTGCTGCAACTTGAATACCAGCTCAAACGTAATAAATACACATTTACCTGCTGCAAAAAGCATGACAGCAACAGGTCTGTAGAAGCGCCTTCGAGATCCCACGCAGATAGAAATCAAACCCACCAGGAATGCGATAAGAATGATGGCAGCACCGCCCAAGAGTAAAGCCAGAGTAGCAATCTGCCAATCTGCAAAGAAAAACAAGAAAGTATTGCTCTTAAGCAGTCAATCCTCAAAGAATCAACAGAATGATGTTCAGCAGCCTGCATCTAGCTGCAGCTAAATACACGGGATCTTACTGCATGCTAAGCATCCTTTGGGAACTGAAATGTTTTGCAACAAAAATTACTATAAACGTCCTAATTCAGGAAAGTCTCTTAGGCTAAGCTCAGCAGTGTTTTTAGACCAGGGGTTTGCCACGCTTTCCAAGGACTCTACTAAGCCTTCATGGTAAATTGGGTGTCCTTTCCATAACCTACTTTCATTATTATTGTTTTTTCTATTGAGCTATAAAGTTCACAAACCTTAAATATGAAAGTCGGAGAATATGATGAACTTTTATATATATTCATACCCCCATATAACCACCACCCACATTAAGATATTGAACATTTTCGTCACCGGAGTTCCCTTGTGCCCCTCCCCAGTCAGTAGTCACCCTCCCACCCAGGCTAGTAAGGGACATCTATCACCTCGGATTCATTTTTGCCTGTTCTTAAACTTTATGTAAATGGTCTGAACTCTTTTGTGTCTGGCTTTTATGTCTCTGATATCTACCCATGTTGTGTGGCAGTAACACATTTTTTTTTTTTTTTGTGGTCCTTTCTTATAAAGCCTTCCTTCTCCGTACTGCATCCCCCAAAGAAACCAAGTTTTTATTTGCCAGTCTTTTCCTCCCCTTCTCTAAAACAACTCCCCCAGCAAAATGGCATTAGGAAAATTTGTTGCTGTTTGTTTTTCCCTCCTCTCTTTCATTCTAATCTCACTGTGGTATTTACCACAAGGATGGTTTGTGAAATTAAGTATTCCCAGGGAGCCAGAATGTACTCTAAATAGCTGCTGGCCCCCTTTCTTCATTCATATGTGGAAACAGCAAGCATATATTGACCACATGCTATGTACCGGTCTCTGTACACGGATAGTTTGAGTCTCCCATGTGCTGAGTGAAACGTAAACCTCACTGAAATGCATCTGTCATTTCCTATAAAGATATAGAAGTAGCATGACAGAAAATTGGCCCATTTCCCATCCCATAAGAAGAGGAGAATGTTCTCTAAGAAGCAGCAAAGTGAATATCTGAAAGCACTATCCAGTTTAGGAAGCATCACAAAAAATGATACTATGCAAAACATTCTTCATTGGGGGTCCTTTGGAAGTCCCAGGCTGCCTCTTCTGGCCCTTACTTTAATGTATGTGCAGAAAATGAAAATAGACTTTAATCCATGGTTAAACTGCAATGTAGTCTGATCCAAAGTTAAGAACTCATGATATTTTGATGCTGCACTTTGAAATTATCCCTCCAGAAAGCTTCCAAAGTGCACTCTTTTACCACTGTAGGATAGGGATGAATGGAGGAACCTATAAAACCCTCGGATTTTCTTCTCTTCTTTATACTTATATTATCTCTGCCTCAAGTGTCCTCTTCTGGATTTATAACTGGCACTGAACCAGAACTTGCACTGCATTCAGGAAACAAACAAGGGGAAAAGAGAAAAAATCCACACTTTTAAAATATAAAGGTGAATCGCAAGAAAGTGGAGAGCATTTTGTATGCCATCTATTTGTAACAAAGCCATATAACTTCAAACAAAAGTATATCTGGCTTTCAACTAGAGTTTAAAAGGATAGCCATACTATGGATTTTTTATTCCATAACAGCATGTAGCTTTGAATTTAAAAAAACCAAAAGAATAATCCTTACATTTGGAAGTCTCTAAATTTCTTTGAAAAAGTTTATACATAGCACAATTATTTTTCACTTTAACATAATAGAAATTCTTCTAAAAATTTTCAAGTTGAAATTTCTGAGTAAGTAAAATTTTCATTGTATCAAAATGGGGTACAAAAAAAAATCCATTCATCCATCAAATTCTTTAAGAGAGACTATGTTGAATACTTTCTAGTTGGACCATTATTTTTATAAAATGATTATTACTTTTAGCAACTTTCTCGAAATTACTTTAAATAAGAATTTTTACAGAATCAATTTTAAGTCAATATACAACTATTCACTCACTTAAAGCAAAATAAAAGATTGCTTTTCTGGTAAGCTTTCACACAGCCCAGTATATAAGCATAATGATTTGCCACAGATTTGAGTATTTCCACAGCCCAATATATATGCCACAGATTTGACTATTTCCACTTTTAACCCAAAATAAAAAAATGAATTTTGATCACTTTTCTCTACTTTAAATATCCTCAAAAAATAGTTAAAATACATGTATTTATTTGCATTTTGTAAAAACAAACTAAGACAAAAAAATTGGCAAAATTTTCCCATAAAGGGCCAGACAGTATTTTCAGCTTTGTGGGTCATGGTCTGTGTTGCAACTACTCAACCTCTGCTGTGTAGTGTGAAAACAGCCATAGACAATATGTAAATGAATGAGCATGGCTGCGTCCCAATAAAACTTTATCTACAAAAGGGCCGGTTTTGACCCTCTGGCTAAAATTTACTGACCCCTGGTCTGTACTTTATGTACCATTTAAAAATGTTGAACTTTTTTCTATGTAAAGGTCTTTCAGACAGTAATAATTTCATAATAAAGTCAATTTGATGAATGAGTAATAAAGGAGTACAAAGTGATGCTTATCCAATTTAGCAACTGAAAAGTATAGAAAACCCAAATCTCCTGATTTCCTTAAAATAGTAATACTTCATGTCATATGGAAAACCAATAAAATGCAATAGAAGCCACCAGGAGAATAACACTTACTAAAAGGGACTAGAACCTAATTAGGAAGGGAACCTCTTACAGCATAGGAAGTAGTTCTTTTGTTTTTTAAAGATTTTATTTATTTATTTGAGAGAGAGAGAATGAGAGTTAGAGAGCACGAGAGGGAAGAGGGTCAGAGGGAGAAGCAGACGCCCTGCTGAGCAGGGAGCCCGATGTGGGACTCGAACCCAGGACTCCAGGATCATGACCTGAGCCGAAGGCAGTTGCTTAACCAACTGAGCCACCCAGGCACCTGCATAGGAAGTAGTTCTAAAAAGTAAGTGAATACAACCAGTTCTGATTTTCTTCTTTTTTTTTTTTTTTTAAGATTTACTTATTTATTTGAGGTGGGGGGCAGAGGGAGAGGGTGAGACCGTCTCAAGCAGACCCCGCGCTGAGCACGGAGCCTAATGCGGGGCTCCATCTCATGACTCTGAGATCAGGACCTGAGTCGAAACCAAGAGTCAGACGCTCAACGGACTGACCCACCCAGGCACTCCCTTATTTTCTTCGAAAAGTCCTGTATCTATTTTTAGTACTGAGGGTTGTGGCTAATGAAAGTCATCCTAGACATAAAGTCAAAAAGGCAGGTTACCAACATCACATTGTAATATTGCTACCCTTCCCTTTGGTCCTTAACCATAGATAATGCCTGTTCACACAGAGAAGCCATTTTATTTTATGAAGGTCTAGAATTGGGCCATGTCTGCCACTGTCCTGGCCAGAAGCTGGGGCTTAGACTGAAGTATTGAGCCCGTATCTCTGGTAGACTGTGCCAAGTTTTGAGATTGTTGTCATTATATCCATTTAGAGTGATTCACTCAGGCAGGTTGCCCAGGACCAAAGCTTTAACAATCAGGAAGCCAAAAAAGTGGTTCGATAAGACTACCATAGTCAGTGAGACCCAGGGCACGTTTCACGGTTCAGCACTAGGTACTCTGAAGCTGAGAACAGTGCTTGTGGCATCGTGCCTCTTTCAGGAAACAGAATCCACTCACCAGACAGTAGGGCCTGCCTGCCTTATGGGTGAGCTAAAGTCAGGGACCATGTAGATCAGCCTGATACCATTTCCTCTTCCTTGATGAACAAGACTAGAATACGGAGAATTTTTTTAAAAAGTGAAAAATAGTTTTATAGATACCTAGTAATAGCCATTAACACAATATACGCTGGGCTTCATGTATACAAATATACTTCCTTATCTACCAAATGTAGATTTAACAAAATATACATATAAAATGTTTTGTTATATACTATAGAACTTGAATAATTTTATGGTAATATTACAATAAATGACCAGAAAACTTGTCTCTACACTAATGGTTTTTCCATTAGAAGGTTTGCATGCCACAAATACTCGCTATCCCATATGCAGTGTTTGCAAAACAAATTAAAATGTCATAAAATTCTCAATTTTCAGCCCCACTTCTTAAAATAAAATCATCTATTTTAAGTTCTCATAATTGGTTAATTTCTACATCAATCTTAGTTCCACAGTTTTATAGCCCTCACAGTCTTTAGTCAGATGAAGTGTTAAGAGTCCTTAGAGATTTATTACTCTGCATTAGTTTTACACATTTCTATAAATGATAAACTGACACCGTAGCGGAGTAGTGAACATAAACCAGCTCTGCAGAACATCAATGGCCATGGTGCTATTTTACAAACTGCAGTGCTCTGCACAATTAAAACTGGTCATTGTTCAATGTCAGGCCACTTGATTTGAAATCTGAGTTTGGTTTCCAAGAGCTCTGAAAACAAGTGATAATCAGTTTCAATGAAAAAATGTACATCCTTGGTCCATGAGCCAGGGAGGACTCAAATGGGCTGCAAAGAATGTTTTGGATGTGGAACTCACACCTGAAATGAGGCTGCTGTAGTATATGGCAGGTTCTGCTTAAGAGTCTAGCAGTTCCCCCTTATCTGCAGTTTCACTTTCCATGCTTTCAGTTATCCGCGATCAAACGCGGTCCAGTCTGGAAGCAGATGATCTTCCTGACGGATCACCAGAAGGTCAATAGTAGTAGCCTAAGGCTTCGTCACAATGCCTCTATCAGTCACCTCACTTCGTTTCATCATGTAGTCATTTTATCATCTCACATCATCCCAAGAAGGATTAGAATAGCACAATACAATATTCCAAGAGAGAGATCACATTTACATAACTTATAGTATATTGTTATAACTCTTCTATTTTATAATCTTATTGTTGTTAATCTCTTACCGTGCCTAATTTAAAAATTAAACTT